TTTTTTTTTTTTTTTTGAATATATCACTACAGAAAGATGATGAAATTTCAACGGCAGTTTCAATGGTGTTTTGATGCTATTATTTTTCAGTTAGAATTTTTCAGTGGATTCCAACGAAAACATTATGTTCGAATGTATTTTTCATTAAATTTTCAATATCATTTTTCATCGGTTTATTACGGTAGAAAGGGCTACATTTTGTTTACAAATTAAACCCAACTGCCTCAAAAGCATGCAACTGTAGGGCTCTCTCATACCTCAAATCATGCGACCTTATTTCCTTGTTCAAAATCTATGACAATTAATTAGTCTTTGGTCCAAGAATGCGAGCAAAAGCTTACAATAGATAACAAATTCACAACAATTAATAAGAATAAAAAAAAAAAGTCTTGCATATAAAGCTTATAATAATAATTGGAGGGAACATGGCTTGCTGGCAATTATTACACATATACAATACATCAAATCAAAGCATCAATCTTAAGACTAAATTTACATTTGAAGGATAAGGGTGATGTGAATTGATGATCGGTTAAAATTATGTGCGTTGATGAATAATGAGTTAATGTTGATGTGATGTGTACGAGTGATTGATTGTTACTATTTAATTATATTATGCATAGTGAGATTGAGTTAGATTTTGAGTTGAATATAGTGTGAAATTAATATTTTTATATCCAAGCACACCCTTAGTATTTAGCAATGTGAAAATAGCTATTTTCATTCTGTTTTGAAGTCTTATTAAGTTTTTCACACCGTCTAATAAAAAGCTAAGTTTTTCACCCCAAAAAGTGCAAAAGGCATTGTGCGATTAATATACGACAATTGCGCGATAACAGTGTGCGTAAGTTAAAAGTGCGAAGGCATTTGCATATCTCTTCGTACTTTCTGGGTTAAAAAAAAGTTAAAGTGTGAATGCATTGTGCGATGAATATGCGACAGTTATGCAATTGATATGCGACAGTTATGCGATGAATATCCACAGTTTTCGCATAATCTTCGCACTTTTCGGGGTGAAAAATTTAGTTTTTTTATTGGGGGTGTAAAAAACTTAATGTGTCTTTGTATCAGGGTGATTTTTTTTTTTTCCCTTTAGCAATTGCACGCTCGGGTCTAATTTAATCCATAAATAATTGTACAATTTGAGTATACAATAATTGAATTTTATAACTATAATAATAAGAAGAATAATTGAAAGAATGATAGATGTTTGTGGATGATTTTGCTTTCACAAACATTGATAATTGTATAATCGCAGATGAACATGCATCAAGTGAGTACTATATACTATGTAGGAGCAATGTGAAATTTTAGCATATATATTGCCTTGATGCAAGATTGTTGTTAGGTATTGTCCAACAATTGCACTGTTCAGCTCAGTAAACTAACTTGTGAAAAGTGATAATCGAACCGAATTGCTAGGTGAAAAAAATTCAAACGAACCAAATGTTTTTCATACTAGAAAATTAAATCGAATTGAACTGTTTAGCTCGATTGATTTGTTTCGATTAAGTTTTGCTCATCCCTAATCACGCCTGCCCCATTTCCTATTTCCTAAACGAATCAGGTTGGGTTTACCCCAACTTATTAGGTGATAGTACATGTTCGAATATAAAATCTCGTTGTGCCTCGATTAGGGCAAGGCCAAGCCTGAAACTACTCGGCCCAATATGGTCCATCGGCGTATAAAATTAAATTTTATTTTTGAAATAATCACATCTACTGTAACTCTGTAAATTATCGTTAGACAGACCTAACAATTAGACAATTATACTTTTTCATTAGATATGCATCTATTTAAATTAAAATGTCATACTCTAAAAATTAACGTAAATAAAAAGTTGATATTTGATAACATAAATACATATTTTTTATACAAAATGATATGATAAGTCTCGATTAAATTTAACTTTGCTCTACTTTTATTGTGAAAGACACAACATATATGGGCCATTATTAGCACACGTGCATACTACATGCATCATTGTAAAGTTGGAAACCAGAATATAACACATGGGCCTGTGTACACACTACACAGGTCATTTCCTATATTTGTACATAAATTTAAAAAATAGAGTTCTAACACACCCAAATACTAAAAAATAAAATAATTTATTTTATGAAATGACATAACAATCAGACCAGTTAATTCATATAATTCTTACATTTAAAAAAAAATTACATGTACTAAAAAGGGTAAAATATCATATATTTTATTTATATTGAATTTAAAATTTAACATTTTTGAATGAAAAATATATTTTTTTAATTTACTGGTATTATGTATCCAATTGTAACAGACCACTTTTATACGCAATTTATAGTTGGAAAAGGTATTATTGTTACAACTACTCAAAGTGTGGGGAACTTTTACACTTTACACACATGAAAATATAAAACATATTAATAATTCAATAATCTAGAAATAAAAGCTTGTTCACCCATACTCGATTTACACTAAATATCAATATCAACTCCATAAACAAAAAGTATTTGCACAATTTAAAAATCCTAAGTTACATGTAAAAACGAGCCGAGCTGAGTCCGAATTCCTGATACTCAAACTAAAAAAGTTTGAGCATTCGTCGATTCAAAACCGATAAACGAGCTCGAGCCTAACTTGATTAAAAATATTAACGATCCGAGTCAATCTATAAAAAGTTACAGAATTATTATTTAATTTTGAGTCTGAACGAAATGAACTTTAAACGAAAAGAGCAACTTTTTTATTAACTCAGACCAATAATTTTGTGGTCGAGAATGATTTACTTGTAAAAAAGAAGAAAAAACAAGCTAAACATTGCAAAATAATTATTAAAACTACAAAAAAAAAAAGCATGTCATCTACACAAAATAATTAAATAATAATAATAATAATAATAATACTCGTAAATACAATAATTTAATTAATTCATCCCAAAAAAAAAGGAAAAGGAAAAAAAAAAAAGACTTTCCTCTGAATTAATCTTTAGTCTCCTTCTTCTCGTGCCAACAGAGGAGCATGGCGACACAACGCCGGAGTATGTAGAATTTGGTCCGTTGATTTTTTGCCACGTGGCTGCATTTCTCACCGAACGATCTCCGGCCTTCAGACCCCCTAATCTCGCTCTCAGCCATCAACTATTCCTATCTTCTCAGTACTTTCATGTATGTATATGCATATATATATGTAAGCAATTTAATTTTTCTCTCTTTTTTTTTTCGGTAGCCAGCCACGGTATCTGGAGCTATGCCCCGACTAATTCATTGGTCGACCCGGGTCGCTCACCTGACCACTGACGGATGAGTCTACCACTCTAATTTTGTATAGACATATGCAAAAGTGATTTTGGCTTAAGTAGGCGATTTTTGTGGTAAAATAAAATATTTGACGGCGGTGTAATATTTAGTTACGATGCGGATGCCTAAAATTTACCATGTTAGTGATAGATGTAAAGTCTGCACATAGATTGTTTGTTGTACCTTATTCGTGGTTGGATTATATATATTTTGTATTTTGTAATAAATATATATAATTTTATATTAAAATAACGTAGTTTAAGAAATAATGCGATGTACATGACAAAGAAATTAAATGAGTTATTTTCACAGCCTTGTCCGATTAAGTCTAAAAAGTAATATTATTATTATTTATTTTTTTACCTCTTTTAATCAACGTTAAGTCTAAAAAATTATTAAGCCGCCCTCTGACAAATATGTATGGAGTTATGTGTTTGTGTCTCATAAGTCACAAACATTATGAATAACATTTCAAATTATTCATTCAAACTTTTATTCATTGCAAATATATTAAAATAATTTATATAACAACCATTAAATACCACTTTTCAATGTATTTATAAATAAAAAGTACATAAAATTTCTGGTGTGTTCAAATTTAAATATTTTTTATGGGCTCAATTTTAAATCATCCAGACATTTGGTCAAACGCATAGGTATGTTCAAATTTAAATCATTAGCATTTTGGTCGGTTGAAATTTAAATCATCTACCATGGTACTGTGATGTGTATTATATATATATATATATACATTTTTTAACAAATAATATGTGCTTTATAAAAATAATAATAATAATTTCACTAGATTTTAAACGTAAAATTTAGTTTTTAATCACAATAGAAAAATCATGGTAAGTTGTATTGAAAAAGTGTTATGAGATGAAACAATTAACTAAAATAATTAAATAAAATACTTGATGGAAATATAATGCATTAATTACCTTTGACTTTTCTTACTACAAATTCTAGTAAATAAAATGCCTTTTTTATATAAGTATAGATATTAAAAGTACCATATTTTATTATAAACAAAAAATAAAATTGACTCTTACATAGAAGTGTTAGTTGAGCGAGCTGAGTTAAGTCAGACACGTCACGTTTAACAAATGCGTGAGTTGACTTGGCTCGGCTTACATTCAACAAATTCAAAATCGTAAGCGAGTTGTTCGTGTATAGGATTTGTGCGTTGGTGTACATATGCAACTCGCTTGTTCGTTCTAACTTTAAAAAAAAATATAATAAAAAAAAACTAAAGATCAACGAGTTGTGTGTGAATGTGTTCGGCTAGACTCGACTCTGTTTTCATTCATATCAAATAATAAAACTAAAAATGAATGGGTAGTTTGCTAATGTGTTCGACTTGACTTGTTTGACATACGAGTTCAATTAATTGTTCGAGTTCGATTCATTAAATTAAATAAATAAATTAAACATAAATATTTGCAAGCCGAATTATATTGTGCTTACAAAATTGTTTGATTAGAAAAGAAAAATGTATTTTCTGAAATAAGCATTTGGGAATTTGTCCTTAATTATTTTTTTTGGAACACTGAAATATGGGCGGGTTGCAATAAGGTCAATTAATGTAGATTGATGATCATTTGATTTGGACACAATTTGATGAAATGATTTGGGGTCAAAGTTAGTTGTCTCATGTAATAATTACAAACACTGCACTTCACTATAATATTATCGAAAGGAATAAAGGAAAGTAAGCCATGTTTCATTTCACTTTTGTTTACAAATATGAAATTATTAATAGAGACAATGAAAAGAAAAAAAAAATTAAGAAACATTAATATTTACCTGAAATAGCAATTAAAAATCAGCAAAAAAATATTTAATTTCTCGTATAAAGTATTTACTATATTGAGTAATATTTTTGGCCAAAATTTAAAAAATCCTGCCTAAACTAATGCAATTAATGTACAAAGTCATTTTCGTCAAATATTGCACCTATTACATTTATGAGTTGCGCGATTCAAAATTTAAAATATAATATATTGACAAAATTGAAGCTATTACCTTTATTAGTTGCATGGTTTAAATTTGGTATATGATATATTAAAAAAATAAAAAAATTATTTAAAATAGAAAATAAAAAAATAATTATTCATAATTTGTGGGTCAATATTAATTTGGACGTAAACGAAAAAGTTAACTATTTATAGTTTAATAAATCACTCAATAACTTACGGGTCAATATTAACTTGGACGTAAACGAAATAGTCAATTATTTATAAGTTAATATATTACTCAATTATTTAATTTTTTTATTTGAATAGTTTATACAAAAAATAGATTATTTAGGTAATGGAACAATATAAATTTTACATTTATACTTATTATTCACATAAGTTGTTAAATATATGATAATATTTTACCAAAATAGCTATTTTATGAAATCACATTATAGTCAAATCGAATTTCAGAATAAATTCTGAAATGATACTTATTTTGAAACGAATATAAGGTGATTTATTATTAGTTATGTGTACCACACGGGTAGTGTACTAATTTAAAATACACATTTTATGTAATTTTGTAGATTTTAAACTATATATATATATATATAACATTTTCAATAAATCTGAAGGTAATTGTATTAAATATTGATACCATGTTTTTTATTTATACATATTAGTTAATAAGAATTTTTAATTTATAAATATTAGTAAATATCTTTTATCCGTGCATTGCTCGAAACTCATACTAGTTTAGTAAATAAATACTTTTGACGTAACTTTCTATATCAAAAGACTAAATCTATTAATTAGTGATTTGTGATATAAAAAAATATCACTTTAAAATTCGAATAATGTTTGTTTTAAATAAAAAAATCTTAACATAATTTAAATATTAAAAAAATATATTAATGTATTTTTGCAGGACATCGTGAATTAGTAAAATATAAAAAATAAATATTTAAATATAAACAAAATAATAAAAAATAGATGGAAGAACTGCAAACAAAGATTTATCTACAAATTATAGGTTTGTCATTTGTGTAGGATTTCACGTCCTCCAAGATCTAAAATGGAACTTTTATTAAGATCAGATTTATTTGGACCCAATTTGAAAGCTAAAGCAAAACTCGAGAAATAAAGGCGTTTTGTTAATTATTAATGCCTAATATTTAATTATGTGGTATCGTACGAGTAGAGGTGACCAACTGTCGGGCCCGACCCGGCTCGCAGAGTCGGTGGGCCTCACTATCCTGGCCTGTGACCGCACGGTTCACCGGGCCGGTTAAAAAACGAAAACAAAAAAAATATTGTGACTCACGGTCCGGCCCGGTCTGGCGAACCAAAAGATAAAAGTTTATGAACCGAGATTGAACCGCGACCCTAAGGGTCTGTTTCAACAAACCGGCCCTTAGGTGACCGGTTTAGGACCGGACCGGGCCGGGACCAGTGACGGGCCAGTTCGGCCTTGGACATGTCTACGTACCAGGCAAAGGTTTGAGATATGGAGAGGGAATAAAGGAAAGGGATTAGCCTACCTAATAAGCTACTCCGTCAAATAGTGAAAAAGTGCCCTATTAATTGCCCATCCAATTATTCGTTTATAGGCTAAAACTAATCATGAAAAACGACATTTGTTCGATTTTGTGCATGGAACCATTGGATGACTCGAGTTATGGAGTTATATGAATTTTTGTTGGCCGGGCTTTTTCACTCCATAAATTTACCTAGATTTGGTGGAGCTTATTGTTACTGTTTGCACTATTCTCTTGTGCCTTAATAGTTCGATATTAAGAGGATATCATAGAGTTTTTGTGGTACAATATGTATGAAGCAGTCTCAATATTCCTTTTTTTTTTTTAATTCTTACATTAATTATATGGTTCAAATTGATGTTTTGTGCAATTTAACTGTTTAATGATGAGATATCTAACATCAGATATATATATATATATATATGGAAAATGCTACATGTACATAACTCTCACATGGTGTGAGGTCTACTTAATTTTTTTATGTTTGGTGGGTCCCACTCAATGTGAGTATTATGTACACTATTATGTACTTGTAGCATTACTCTATCTTTACTATACATATAAGGCAATAACAAGGGGTTGTTCTGGGTCTGACATGTGTCATTTTCGGACAAAAAAGACCTTCA